TTAGAAATGAAAAATAAAAAATGCTCCTGTTATAGAAGTGGTGGAAAAAAATCCACAAACAGTTCTACAGTATAGCAGGAAGGTAAGTCATTGTTAGAGCAGTTTTTGGTGCTGCGAGGTCAGTTGTTTTCTATGCGAAATCAATCAATAGAAATTTAAGGAAAAAAAATTTATATATACATTATAATACAATAACGAGGACTCTTGTGTTTGTATGTATCACTTTACATATGAACCCCAAATGTAACAAACTACATTCAGTACTTTCTTCTAATCTGATAAAAGGATTACGCCTGGGTTCTGTCCAATACAATTCTATGAAAGGCATTAACCAATTATATATGTTCAACAGCAAACTGAAATCTCATTGCTATGGGTTACTACACACAATGCTTTGCCTTAACCCCCCTGGCGGTATTCCTGAGTGTAGCTCGGGGTAAAGTTTCAGCACCACAAGCGGTAACCCCCCCGAGCTACACTCAGGAATACACTGCAGCGTTGCTCCAGGATCTCTTCTGCACTTACCTTGTCCTGCGCTCCCGTGATGTCTCCCCTGCAGCATCCTCGGCCATCTCCTCCGGCTGATACCGGCATCCGTCTTCCAGGTTCTGTTCCCTGCGACGTCGGACGTACGGGGATGGAACTGGCGGGAAATTTTAAAAGTGTTAAAAAGTGACATTCACAAAATACACTAAAATCTGATAGTATTTGTAACAGAACTGGACCCCGACTGCACTAGGGTATTTCCGTTAGACTCCCGCCTCCCTGTCCAAACACAGATCCACGGACAACACTCTTGAAATCACTCAGGAAATAGACTGCTTTATTTTAACACAGACACAAGATATAAACATTCAAGAGAACAACCCACCTCCCTGCATACGGACGCGGGGCAAACCAAATCTAGTAATAAGAAACACATCAGCAGACACCCCCCACCAAGCCAATACACAAACACATACATCCCATAATAGTTTGTTCCCAAGCAAGACACACAATAGAACAATGGGATGCACCACATGGCAGTACAATGAACAACCCCCCACACCCCACCTGTACATGTCTATACAATATCAGCACATTCCACCCTGTACCCCTAACAGGCACAGGGTGACTTACACATAAGAGGGATATGGGGAGCTGAGATGGGTCTCCCCACCTCTCTAAAATGAGCTTGGTTCCATGGGCCCCCCACCCAAAGTCACTTCCGTCACAGTATTACATTCCTGTATCAAACCATTTCACATACATTTTGTCCCGAGTGCTTTGTCCGGCGCCCTGCCTGCATTTTTACAGTTCTTTCTGCCTGGAAACTGAGAAACGTCCATGGCGTCCAAAAAGCGTCCCTTTAGGTCAAAAGCGGTTTTAGACCGGCTAGAGAACAGCGATAGTAAATCAGAACCACTTGCAGAATTGAGTGATAATGATTCGTGGGGGAAATTCCTCATCAGACACTGAAAACGATTCTGCGACTGAGCTCAGTGATGTGCGAACTTGGCGCTCTATTTCAAATTTCAGTGTTTTTGGTTTGATTATATTATTGAATTAAATTTATTATTATTAGATTTATTATTTTTTATGATTATTTATTAAATTATAAATTATGATTTCGTGTTTCAAATTTTATCCTCCCCGGGATGTTTACTAGACTCTTGTTCAGACAGATTTCAGTGAGTTATTCCTAAAAATTACAGGCCCACAATAAAAGAAACGACATATTTCCATGCAAAAAATGTACCGCTTTGAGCACAGAAATATGGACATAATCAGACCGCTAGGGAGGCTACAGGACATGTACAGCTCTTAGGGAGTCTATGGATCAAGCTGTAATAACCTCGTCCTGTCAGGGCAGGGCTGTGGAACGGACAGGTAGGCCTAGTGGCAGGGTAACGCACTGACTGACGACAACCTCCACCAACAGACCAAAGTCCCTCAGGGAGCGGAGTCTAAGTCCCAGGCTGCCCTTCACCAGGGCCCCTGATGGTGCGGATGGACTTGGCGCAGCCAGGAACCAGGTTGCGGCTCCCGAGACACCCGGGCTGCGGTAATGGCCGCCGCCAATGGCTTGTAGCTGGTAGGAATGACAATAGCGTAGTCGGGCAGGCCGGGTCGACAACAACGGGACAAAACGGTACAGAACAGTAGACAAGAATCACAGGTCACGGGCCGGGTTCAGCAACTGAAAGTCAGATCAAAGGAAAACACAGAGAAGGGTCTAGTCACAAGCCGAGTCAGATACCAGAAGAGTCACGAGAGTATACACAGAGCTGTAGCAACACAAAGACACAAGTGCCATGAATCCTGACGGTGCAGGTACGCCTTTGCTTCCAATGTTGGTCGCCAGACTGGATCAACAGGATCTCCTGTTGGATCAGTTCGCTCAGGCGTTGCAAACTCTGCTTGCACGCACCTTACTCCTGGTGCTATTAGGCCGGTTGTCACTCCGGTGGTCGCTCCCACCATGCTCTGCAGAAACCCAAGATGGGCGCCAGTACATGAAGCCGCACAGTCTCTGGAAAAGGTAGGACCTTGACACGTCCCCTCGAGGGTGCGGCTCATTGTCCTGATCTGATCACCACAGCTTCTGGGATACAATCGTTCAATTTGCTGAATGAGATCTTCAATCTTTCTCTTTGCAGTGCGCACATCCAGTCTCAGTCATCGTACGGTCCGGTTCTTTCACCGATGAATAAAGTCCACGGCGGAATGAATAAATTGCCATCGGTCAACCAGTTGGTGGGACAACCCAATCAGCACAACTCCAACACAGCTCCCGGTATGATCCCTATGGGTAAGCATGAAGAAACGCTTAGGTTACAAATCTAGTAGAAATATCTTGAAGCGCATCTCTACCCAAAAGGAGGGAATACAAAACGCGTCAGTTCTTACTGCTACCTGTTTTCCCATCTGGGGAGATTTCCTTTGTCCTCTGCTCCCAGAGACACCATATTGGAGAACAAGAATCTGACCGGGAATCAAAGATTTTCCCCTCACTCAAAACTGATAAAGTTGAGTTCCAATATATGATGATATTTATATCTATGAGAACTAAAACTGGGAATTAAAGTATATCGAAAGCTTGGAATGGAGTAGCGAATGGCTAAAACCCATTCTGTTTTTTCTGTTCTAAAGGGAGGTGGAGATGAAGAACTGGACATGGATCTCCAATAACTAATGCAAAATTCATTCATACAGACAAATGGCTTGTGTTTGGCAGTTCTCTACACAAAAGAGATCCTCTCAATGAACAGAGGTCACTTGAACTGAGAAATGAATGCCAACCAAAGATGGAGCCAACCAAAGATGGCGCCAACCAAAGATGGCGCCAGACAGAAGTTCTTGGAGTCCAAAAAAGGTGTTTTTTGACTGTATATGACAACAGGAATACAAGGAAAGGCAGCCGATCCCCCAGGAATACGACGAGTGCCTTTCTTTGTTTTCCTGTTCTCATTATGGAATTAAAGTGATTGTAAACCTTTTTTTTCTAACCTCTTCAAGCCGGCCGCACATAAATGTGCAGCCTCCCGGTGTCAGGGCCTAGAGGCCGAGCGGCGCGGCCGCACATTTGCGGTCTAATAAAAAAATACATATGTGCTGAGAGCGCGCGCCCTGTGCGCTCCCAGCACACGTCTGGTACTCACAAAAAGGTCCCGGTCTCCTCTTTCAATCGGGACCTTTCCCGATCATGTGACCGCCGTGACGAGGCATCACATGAATCCCTAAAACCCGCCCCATCCCCCGGCTTCTGAAACTCTTAAAGGACCGGGAGGCGCCGGCGGCGTGAAGGGGTTAAACAAGAAACATGTCATGCTAGTCAATAGTTGTGCACAGAGCAGCCCCGATCCTACTCTTCTGGGGTCTTCTGCCAGTGCTTCTGGCTCCCATAGCAAGCTGCTTGCTGTGGAGAGACTTGTTTGTGTGCTCGCTCTCAAGCGGACTCTGTGTATCCATTGACACACACAGTGCGGCTCTGCCCCGTCACCTGCTCACTTCTTACTGGCTGTGATTAACAGTACCAGGAGCCAATGGCTACCGCAGCTGTTTCTGAGCTTATGAGGAGGGAGAGAGCTGCTGTGCTTGTGCATTGTGCTGCATTGAGAGGGGGTGAGGTAGGGTTGAGGTGAGGTAGGGTGGGGGTGGGGGGGTGCGCTGAGCATTGAGGGTGTTTTTTAAACATTAAAGTGTTACTAAACCCACAACAGTACAATCAGTCTGTAGATGCAGTAAAGCGTGCTGGTTATACTCACTGTGGAACCTAAGGGGTTAATCCTCTGCATTGTGTAAAAAGGTTGTTTGATCCTGTCTTCTCTGCCCCTCCTCTTGTTCAAATGCCCACGCTGATAAAGCAGACTGAACCCATAGCCTTTCTGCACATGCTCAGTTTAGTGTGTATTGCTAGAGAGTTTTTTTTGCTAGAGAGGCTGACTATAGGTCAGGTAACCCGAGCTCCTAAAGTTTTTTCAGCACTCTATTTAAAGTGTTACTAAACCCACAACAGTACAATCAGTCTCTAGATGCAGTAAAGCGTGCTGGTTATACTCACTGTGGAACCTAAGGGGTTAATCCTCCGAAAAGGCCGTTTGATCCTGTCTTCTCTGATCCTCCCCTTCTTCTACTGTCCCCAATATATCTCCTGACAGAACAGAACTCTAGGAGTCACTCTGAACATGCTCAGTTTAGTTTGTATTGCTAGAGTTTTTTTCTTTGGCCCTGTGCTGATCACTTGCACCGTTCCAATCAGCACTGTCCAGACAAGGGGTCAGGGGTCATGCAGCCTCATAGGACAGTCAGAGGGGAATGAAAACTCCTCCTGCAAGGTTTAACCAGTGCTCTGCTGGACACTGATAGAAGTCACAAGACTGCTATATACTGCTAATGAGAAAAGGTATTTAGCAAAGTATTTAGTTTTATATTTACCAAAATAACTACATTTCCATGTTCTGTGTACTGTGGGAGAGCAGATATAGTGAATGCAGGGTCCGGGGAGAGCGGATATAGTGAATGCAGGGTCCGGGGAGAGCGGATATAGTGAATGCGGGGTCCGGGGAGAGCAGATATAGTGAATGCGGGGTCCGGGGAGACAGGATATAGTGAATGCGGGGCCGGGGAGAGCGGATATAGTGAATGCAGGGTCTGAGGAGAGCGGATATAGTGAATGCGGGGTCCGGGGAGATCAGATAAAGTGAATGCGGGGTCCGGGGGAGATCGGATATAGTGAATGCGGGGTCCGGGGAGAGCGGACATAGTGATTGCGGGGTCCAGGGAGATCAGATAAAGTGAATGCGGGGTCCTGGGAGATCGGATATAGTGAATGCGGGGTCCTGGGAGATCGGATATAGTGAATGCGGGGTCCGGGGAGAGCGGATATAGTGAATGCGGGGTCCGGGGAGACAGGATATAGTGAATGCAGGGTCCGGGGAGAGCGGATATAGTGAATGCAGGGTCTGAGGAGAGCGGATATAGTGAATGCGGGGTCCGGGGAGATCAGATAAAGTGAATGCGGGGTCCGGGGAGATCGGGTATAGTGAATGCGGGGTCCGGGGAGAGCGGACATAGTGATTGCGGGGTCCAGGGAGATCAGATAAAGTGAATGCGGGGTCCTGGGAGATCGGATATAGTGAATGCGGGGTCCTGGGAGATCGGATATAGTGAATGCGGGGTCCGGGGAGACCGGATATAGTGAATGCGGGGTCCGGGGAGAGCGGATATAGTGAATGCAGGGTCCGGGGAGATCGGATATAGTGAATGCCGGGTCCGGGGAGAGCGGATATAGTGAATGCAGGGTCCGGGGAGACCGGATATAGTGAATGCAGGGTCCGGGGAGAGCGGATATAGTGAATGCAGGGTCCGGGGAGAGCAGATATAGTGAATGCGGGGTCCAGGGAGAGTGGATATAGTGAATGCAGGGTCCGGTGAGAGCGGATATAGTGAATGCGGGGTCCGGGGAGACCGGATATAGTGAGTACAGGTCCGGGGAGAGTGGATATAGTGAATGCAGGGTCCGGGGAGACCGGATATAGTGAATGCAGGGTCCGGGGAGACCGGATATAGTGAATGTAGCATCCGGGGAGAGTGGATATAGTGAATTCGGGGTCCGGTGATACCGGATATAGTGAATGTAGGGTCCGGGGAGAGTGGATATAGTGAATGCGGGGTCCGGGGATACCGGATATAGTGAATGCGGGGTCCGGGGATACTGGATATAGTGAATGCAGGGTCCGGGGATACCGGATATAGTGAATGCGGGGTCCGGGGAGAGCGGATATAGTGAATGCGGGGTCCGGGGAGAGCGGATATAGTGAATGTAGGGTCCGGGGGAGAGCGGATATAGTGAATGCAGGGTCTGGGGGAGACCGGATATAGTGAATGCAGGGTCCGGGGAGACCGGATATAGTGAATGCGGGGTCTGGGGAGAACGGATATAGTGAATGCAGGGTCCGGGGAGATCGGATATAGTG